CCCGAGGCACCTGTTGCTCGGGCTGATCCACTACGACATGCGGCCGGTGCGCGACACCACCAGCAAGTGGTTCGTACCGGTGGCTGAGTACCCGGACGAGTTTTACCGGCCGTTCCTGTCGGGCTGGATGTACGTAGCGTCACAGGACGCCGTGCACCGGCTGCTGGCCGCCGCCGCCGGCCGGCCGACGTTCTGGATCGACGACGTGCACGTGACGGGTACGCTGGCGGCGGCGGCCGGCCTCCGGCTCAGCAGCTTCAACGCCTACTACACGCCGCACCTGGAGCACCTGGAGTGCTGCGCGCGCGCCGACCGGCTGCTCTGTGACTTCCTGGTGGGCCCGACCGGCGGCGACGAGGCCGTGCTGCGCGACTTCCTGGGCCAGGCGCGCGCCTGCTGGCAGGCCGGCTGCGGCCGCCGGCCTGCCAGCGAGGCGGTGGCGCGTACCTGCGTCAGCACCGGCAAGTACCGACACGGCGCGGCCGGCCGCGGCACGGCCGAGATCGTGCCCGTCCGCTGGGGCGCCAGCTGACCCCAGCTGACCGACCCGAGGCCGGCCGGCGGCACGGCGCGGCGGCTAACCCTGAACGCGCTCGGGCGCCGCCTGGCCAGACGTCGGCTGACGTGGGCGCCACCTGTCCACGCGGGGAGCTCGCTCGGCCGCTGACTGGTGGGAGACGATTGGTCGCAATGAATTGCCACCTAGTGGCAGATGGATGAACTGAGCTACCACCTAGTGGGAGGTGAATCGAGTACGCCTGAGCTCTGGACTGGGCGTTTGTGCTTAGGAACGGAGACCTGCTGAGGTGGTTGTATATGTGGTGGGTGCATGAAGCTATGTCAGGCTAGCTAGAATGGCGGCCATTGGCTTGGCACGGCATGAGTGGCGCGATTGGAGAGGCAGTTGTTCGCTGGGAATGGTGATGATCTTGTCAAAGAGTTACTGCGACTGAGCTGGCGCCCACGGCTTGCTGGGACGGCTTGCGTGGCGCGTATTGCACCTATGTTTGGCTGATGTTGACGATGCGCCATGCTCCCAATCGTGTGATGAAGTGTGACGTTCCTAACGAATAGTTAATGCCCAGTATGGTTTTGAAAGAGGCGCAATGGGTTAGCTTTCAGCCGTATTTAAATTGTCAAGTTATGCGTTGGATCGTGCGCGATTTTTGAATGTTGCCAGCTCTCCATTCTAGTATTTCTTTAAAGCATTGGTGCAGTACTTATATTTGCTGTCGATTAATCCCAAGTGATGGTTATCTAGTCGGGTATGCAGGGAGAGCGTTTTGGTTAGCGCGATGTTCACATGGCCGCATGCATCTCGTGGTTCGAGTTTCGTAATAAAGTTCGTAAGACCAGGCTCTGTTGTGAAGAAAGTTTAGTCCCGAATGTGTGCATTGAATGTCGGGTTGGCGGAGGTCACACAGATGATCCACTTCCCTGTCAACTGTGGTTGGGCCCTTCGGTGCACATCAGAGATGCGCGCACTCGTCTCCACTTCCGCTGCTCATGGCGTCGCCGGCTCCGGCCGGTCGATCGTGAGCCTGCCGCATCAAACGGCTCCTGCCGACATCGGGAGACTCTCTCGACGCAGCGTTATCTGCTGGGGACTGCTGGTAACGGATGTGGAGCGCAGTCTGCTCCGGGGCATGGTGAGCCTTACAATGTTCAAGGTTCAGTCAGAATTTATCACTCATAAAAAAACTATGTCATCTGGTTTTGAACGTGCGCGCTCGCAAGTCAGCAACAACCTTAACGCCCGGCGTTGCAGTCTCCACAGGCCGCGCGGCGTCGGCCCGTGGCTGTGACACTAAGCGATGGCCAATGAGCGGACCGGGCACAGCTATCAATTCACAGGCAAGGGGTGATTTGAACGGAAGGGTCTTCTCCGCCGACCAGCGATTTACATTTCCGGCCGCTGCTGCTCCCACAAGGGCATGGTGTGCGCATGGCAGCACCCGTCACGCACGGCTCCAGTATTTTCACATGAACGCCGCAACTTTGCAAACGGCCGCTGCTGCTGGCACGACAGCTTTGAGCAAGCCAATATCAAGGTAGGGGGAATGGGGATCGACCGAATAAAATGGATGCCCTGGGCTGACCAGTGCGCTGTGCGCACGGGTGACGGCCTCACAGCACCGCTATCTTCTGCATATAGCCGCACTCTTAGCGTCTGATAATAAGTATTTTTCTGGAAGCCGTATTCTCGCCATTTCAATGTGGGAGGGCCGGCCACAGTGGTCACTGCGCCGTCCAGGCGTGAGCTGAACAAAAGAGGTCATGTGGACCGAAGAACGATTTGTATCACCGACGTATAGCGCTCCTACAATGGCATCGCGTGCACTTAGTCGCACCCGCCGTGCACGATTAAAGTATCTTAAACAGGATACAGGACCATTGTGAATCACTGCTACCGCCGGGCCTTCGAGCACTGGGTGGCAGTGCCGGCGGTCGACGGAATAAAAGGATGCCGGAAACGCACTCGTGTGTTTTACCCCATCTGATACAGAAATTTATTCAAGGTTTTGATCAGTCAGTTTGTCTTGTGATCTCCGCATCAATTTATAGTCATTGAGTTTTAAAAGATGGTGATGCACCTTGCATTTCACTTCAGTCTGAAAGGATAATAGGAAAAATCTTGCTCTTAACACCCAAAAGTAAAACCCATTCTGGGATCCTGTATCAACACGCAACCTGGCGGCCGGTTGAATACCCTTTGATCGGGCGGGGGAGGGGGCAATCCAGCCCCCCCCTAAGATCTCGAAAACTAAGATAGCTAGAGACACAAAATTCCCAGGATAGAGTAAACTGTACGTGAAATCTCTTGTGTCACAATTTGAGGTGCCTAGGTTGCAACCTTGTGGTCAAATAAGGTTAAACAAGATCAAATTCCAGATTGGTGTCTTGAGTGCCCCCAGAACTCCTCATGCAACTACTGTGGAGATAGATATCTGTTCTAAGCAATAAGTGGGGTCAGTGACCTTGCTTGACCTTTATAAGATCAAGGTGACCAAATGCCCAAGAGATTGCCCCTGTTTTGTTGTTCGAATCAGCGTGAAAGATTGCACTAAGCGGCGGGTTCCTAAAAACAAATCGTTGACCTGGGTCATTTTAGGTCAGCGGCCTATTCTGACCTTTAAAGTCCATGGAAGATGTCTGCTGTGGTCGCTGTCACTGATAAATTCAAAATCAGCACTAGAAACTACCCCTTACAACCAAGCTCTCGAGCAAAAAGAAGGTTAGTCTTGACCTCGTTCTGAACCTCATATACCCGATCCTAGGTCAATAAGATTGGTTGTAATTCTAAACTAAATTGGTTTACTGCCTAGAAAGTTATATGAAATCAGTATGGCTTCGTCCAACACTCCGTTGTTCCATCACATTGAACGATTCCCTAGAAATGCGCTCCGCTGAAGGCCATGGCCTGACTGACCTGGCTTAGGTCGGCGACCTTACAAGGTACATCTGATTTTTGTCAAAAGATCCATTATTCAATCTTCTACAGCTGTGACAAGTTTGACGCGGAGAAGCCGTGCCAAACCTTCACCGAACGGCTACGCCGCGCGGTTCCGCAATTGTGCTGAGACAATTTCCGGAGGCTTTATTTGACCCCCACCCGGACGGGCGTCAATCAGTAGCCATCAGCTGGTCACCACACTGGCCAGCCGGCTAATCGCCTTGGTGCCGGGGCGGCTGGCCGTCGTCCGCCCGAAAACCAGTTTCCTGCAACCGACCTAGCCAAGGAATAACATAGGAGAAAGGGGATAGCTGGCTTAGATAGCCGGCTTATTTTCATCATAAGGTGGCCCGGATCTTAACGGCAATCTGGGATCTTCCAGTTTTGAGCACCGTGCATTTATCGAGCAACGTTCGTAAGCCAATGAACCTAGCGCGCCCGAACCGCCAGCAACATTCCACTCACCGCTGGTTGTTCTTGTTCAGAGCCGCACGCCATATGGCTCAGTGTGCAGGCTTGCCTCGCCCAGAGCCCGCGCCAGTCCGGGCGCTGTCGCCATCCACGCTGCACCTATCAGGCGGCCGCGACACGGCACCGTCTTGAAACGCCGGTGTGAAGGCCCACACTGGCGTGTGGCGCGCAAAACGCACACCACCTCACGCAATGGGGCTTAGTGGAGTGCTGTGGAGTGGAGCCTGTTCCACGGTGCAATGGGTCTGGAGGCTTATCAGCCACGTTGTACCACTAACCATTGCAATGCGGTGTCTGGCCTGCAGCGACAAATTGGCCATCCCGACGGCAAAGGAGTGAGTGTCCCGCGAGTGCTGTGGAGTGGAGCCTGTGCCGTGGAGTTCTGTGAGTGAAGCCTGTGCCATGGAGTGCTTTTGGAGTGGAGCCTGCGCCATGGAATGATGTGGAGTGGAGCTTGTGCCGTGGAGTGCTGGCCGCTTGATACCACCGCTCTCTGAAGGCCCAGCCAATCACAAACAGGGGCGAACTGCAGCAATATATCGACAACAGCGGGCGATCGTCGAATGCATTGGAATCGCACAATTTGATGACACTCGCCGCGGATCAGAACTACACTGGTACCATGTACAGCACTACTGGTATGGCTGCACTCCATCTTCTTGTCCACCACATATTACAGGAGAACATGAAGCAGCATTTTGAAGAGCACCTGATCGCTGACCGCTCGAAAATAATACATCGGCATCGCAGGCATTACGGAGCCAAGCACGAGTGTCCGCCGTTCCTACCAGGGTGAGAGGCAGGTGATGCCATGTGGCCTTAGCAGCTGAGCGCATCGCTATGACTCAATGACGACGACGAGCCAAGCAAGGGACTACAGGACTAAAATGGTGCGGGATTGAGAAACAAAACAAAGCAATATAGTGCAGTTCGGTGCCGAGATGGCACACCAAGCGGTGTCCATACCCCGCTGTGGCAGAAGCCAGTTGAAAGGGGCAGTTTCGCACGCATGCCGTTGTCCGCCTACCGGAACAGAATGCAGTGCAAAGGCCACTGGAAAGTGTTGGCTATTGATGGAAAGGGCAGGACGTCAGGAAGAGCTTGACGAGCTTCATCTCTGTAAGGGGACACGAAAATAATCATGCAGTTTAATGACGACCATTAGTACCCAAGGACAGCGGCAGCCCAAGATGTTTTGGCCGGCGACTACTACAGAGGTATGGACTGTGGAGGCTCCCATGCCCAGATACGGCAATCACGTTCGACACGATCAGAGGCAGAATAGTGACCATGACATCGCCACCAAACGTTAAACGGGGTGCTCCGCGTTTATGTGGGGCTTTGAACTTAATGGTCATCTTGAAGATCTTTCGATGCTGTCCACAATCCTGCCTTTCTTAAAACCCAAGCCCCTCTCGTGTCTAAGCTACACGCCCGCGAAGATGGTTGAGTATTTGGATGCCAAGTTGACATTCATGACGTCATAATAACGTCATTCAAATTATGTCATTCAAGAGGCCATGCCGCGATCAGAGCCAATACAAATATGGTTGTCGAGGCGTCCATATCTGGCGTTCGTGGGCGCGATTTCCAGATATAACGGCCGTTAACTGACCGTCAATCAATGTTGTGCGAGGTGCTATGACGTAATCAAGCCATGACGCATTGAGGGGCATATTTACTAAACAGAGAAGTGTGTTGGCTGGAGCAGTGTTTTCCATTTAAACTGAAAATGATTAGTTGAAAGCGAGCTTGTTTCATGACATCTCATGCTTGCCTCAATGTCTTCTGAGGTGAAACATCCCCTTTAACAGCAGCCATGCCAGCCGATAAACTGACATCACTGCCTCCGAAATAAGCACAATCCGCGAAAATATCACGTTTAGACAGAAAAGCCCCGCTGTAAGGCGCTACATCAGGAATAGCACGAGCTTCAGTCCACCGCCATCGGTAGCGGATTTAACATTGGCCACCGTCTTTCTCCAGACTTCTCGCCACAACGGCGCCCAAAGCGCCCATCCCGCACATCACTCCCAGCCTCTCCCAGATTACGAGCACCCGCACACAACGGCGGCCGAGCCGGGATTACACGAACGTGGCTTCACTTTTCACGCGCCTCGGCACACCGCACGTCCATCTCCTCCCCGGAGGTCGAGCGACTCCCCCTCCCCCCCGCGGGCCCGGCGCGTCCGGTCCCGCCGGGGCCGGAGCCGGCCGCGCCGGCTCAGTGTAGCCTCTGGCGCTTGGGGGCGCGCCGGGCGCGCGGGGTGCCGCCGGACTGAGTGACGCGGTCGGCCGGCGGCACCTTGAAGCCGCCCCGCTCCATCAGGATGCTGCAGATGAGGCTGCTGTTGGCAGGCAGCAGGTCCTCGGCCGCCTGCGGAGGGGGCGGAGGTCAGCCGGGGTCAGACAGGGCACGGGAGCATGTCAGCCGGGGTCAGACGCGGCACGGGCGGAGATCAGCCGGGGCTAGAAGCGTCGCGGGCGCACGGACGCGACGCCATTCAGCAGGCGCGGGTCGAACCACAGTGCGAAGGAGTGCACTTCGAAGACAAGCGGAGCACGTTCGTGGAGCGCATGTCGATCGTGCGAGGTACTCGATCGGCGAGGCGCCAAACGACCGTGAACATTATTTCAGAATCGCACAACCGGTTAAACCACAGGAACCCGACTGCACCACGGGCCAGCTTGCCCGCGGTGCTGCCACCTGTCGTGCGATCGAACACCACGTCTTGCCCGCCTCACGGCAGATGTCGCGCCGGGCGCCGCGCCCGCAGTCGGCGCAGCACCGCGTCAGGCGCTCGAGACAAAGGCCGGCGGCCGCCCACCTGCAGCGGCGTCGTCTCCGAAAAGTCGGCCATGTTGACGGCGGCGTTGGCCTCGACCAGCTCGCGCACTGTCGGCTCGTCGCCGCGCAGCACGGCGTGGAACAGAGGCGATCGGCCGCCCGTGTCGTCCTGCGCAACAAGTGACCGCGCGCCGGGTCAGACGACACGTCATCACCGCGCAGCACCGCCCAGCGCGCACCGTTTCGCAAGGTTAAGGGGAATGTGTCACGTTTCAAGATATTGAAGCAGCCATCAGATGTGATGAAATACGCAAACTTATAACTGCTGGTATACTTTTGAGTGGAAAAGGCGGATTTAGATAATGCAATCTCTGTTTAGTAAATATGCCCCTCGATACGTCATTATTTGATTACATCATCGTACCTTGCACAACACCAATCGAGAGCCAATTGACGGTCATTGTATCTGGACAACGTGCTCACGAATGCCAGATATGAACGACTCGACAACTGCATTTTTCTTGGCCTTGATCGCCGCATGGCAAAGGGAATGATAGGATTTGAATGGCGTTATTATGTCGTCATGGATGCCTTGGTGATCTTGAAATAGCCTTCCCGAAAAATTATGCACACCTTCGCAGGCGTGTAGCTCAGAGCCTCGAGGGGTTTAGGTCTTGAGAAGGCTAGGGCTGTGAACTACAACGAATGATCTTCAAGACGGCTATTTCAGCTCCAACCCCATACAAATGTGGCACACTCCCTTCAAAACAGCTCATGAAGGCCGGGTAGCCATGTATGGCACGCTATGGCACGCACGGGGCAAGACAACACACCGCTGAAGGTGCTGCGCAGTACACCGCTGAACACGCGATCGCGCGGGGTAGGATGACACCCGATGATCGTATCGCACTGTCGGGGGTGCTTTTATAAATGGCACAGGACGATCGAGGGCAAATCCTGGTCCACTACACATGGAGTGAAGCGATACCGGCTGGCTGTCTGCTGGACGAACACGACACGTCGCAGAATGGCGGCGGGCTGTCAGACCGTTAAAGGCTGACTGCGCACCACACACAGCGAAAGGACGCCCGGGGAACACCTGGCGAAGTGGCCAACACCCGGCGAGGCGGTGTGAAGTCATCTAACAGAGACCACCTTCTGAGCGTATCACCAGGTTCGAGGCCGCATGCCGGGACTGACTGCGGTGTATATGAAGGGTCACAAATTAGGCCACAAGACACCAACAACGTCAACCACGGCTGGTATTTTTCCGTTGACGCGCCCCACCGACGTCATTTGCACAGCACTGTCCGTTCCGTGAACAGCGCCCACGGTCTGCCCCGAGCTGGCCGCCGCAGCGTCCTGCCCGACAGGCCACGCCGCCGGCGGCGAGCACGGCGGCGCGGCCGGGACAAACCAGGCCGCGCCGGACTTACCGCCACGTTGACGTCGACACGCGACTCGATCAGCAGCTGCAGCGCGCGCCGGTGCGGCTCCTGCTGCGGCTGGTGGATCACCACCAGGTGGAGCGCCGTGTACCCTGCCGGCGGGCGTAGCGGGTCACCGCGGACCCGGTGGCGGGCCGGGCATCTGCACACAGCCGCCGGCCACATGGCCAAGACACAGCGCCCGTCGAAATAAACGCCACGCATTCAAACCTTGCCTCCACCACGACAGGCCCGTCGCTAGGTATGTGTAGACCCCTCCCCGTCCCGCCATCATCGCCACAAACCTCTACCCTTCCTGCGGGTCGTAAACGCCTCAGCCGTCCGTCCCCAGCCAGGGCCAGCGCCGACCGGCCGTCCGCCGCCTCTCCTCACCCTCCAGGTTCTTCTGGTCCAGCAGGTTGACGTCGTCGCCCATCCGCTGCAGTAGCGTCTGCAGCACGTCCACGCGCTGGAAGCGGGCCGCCAGGTGGAGGGGCGTGTTGCCGAGCGAGTCGCGCGCGTCCAGTCGGGCGCCACGCTGCAGCAGCGCATCGGCCGCCTTCGGGCACGTGACCACATGCAGCGGCGTCTGGGGAGGGCCGAGCGGGCCGTCACAGCCAGGCTCCTCAGGGACAAGGTCACAGACAGCCTCAGGGGCGCGGTCACAGGCAGCCCCAGGGAGGCAGTGGTCGGGCGGCGCCGAGAACAGTGTCACGCGCAGCGGACTGGGTCAGATGCGCCCCGCAGCAGCACGCCTGCTCCGTAAACCGGACGCCGTCAGCCAGAGAAGACCAAACAAACCGGAATGGGCTGGCCCCGCAGCGGAAGCGACCTATCGCGCTGGTTCGGCCGCCTCGACGATGGTTTGCTGCACCGTCTCCGCGTTTCACTGGTTCCACAGATGTCGCCAGTGGCATGCACGGATTGACTGGCGTGCAAGGCTGGTTCCAAACACAGGTCCTACAGTTTGGCTCAGAAACGCGCCACATGGCCAAAAAGCAGCTATCCAAAGGAAACAAAGACTCGCCGGGGTTTTACGGTGCAGCGTATTGCATAAAGCTGGGTATGCAATGCATTGCGCGGCGTTCACACACATATAAATCTTCCTGACACTTCAACACCGGCGCAACGCACACGACGTCACATATCCCAAGCACGTCACCCCCAGTCTATCGGGTCATACTGCGCAAATAGCTTCCGGCGAATAGCTAATTTCGACGAATGCCGTCGTCGAGATTAATGTCACTATTCTGACTCATACAGCCCACAGATGGGGCAGCCATTGGTGTCCAGCGACAGAAGCCGTCGCCACACCCAGACCGTCCTTGAAAGGACGCCATTCAGCCGCGAAAGTGTGGGCTTTTACCCGAGCTGGTTGAAGACAATTCAAGGAAAGATTCATTTGCATGATGTGCTCTCGCGTAGCTCTCAAAAACTTACAACGGGAGTATTTGTATGAAGTAGTTCCAGAGCAGGGCATCACCCCGCCAAAAAGACGGTCGCCTCACATTGCTTAGCCAGCGACAAACAGGGCTGCTCGAGACCAAGCCCCTCCCCAAACCCCAACATCCACAGAACATTCTGGAATACGGACCATTCAGTCACGGCTAAAGCCCCATTCCAATGAGAAGAAAACCTCTCTTTGCGAAGGGCTGTTGCCGTGCGGACGGCGTAGTCACGTTGACACGACGTTCATCCGCGCCGATGCATCCAGCCACGGGTTCGAACCTGACACCGAGCCGATATTTCGCGACGTGGCGTAATGCCGCGCCACTGTTGGCGCGTAACCGCAACGTGACCGCGCATCGCAAACAAGCCCCGCACAGCGCTGGTGGGGGCGCCACGGCAACTGCGCCCGGCGGTGAAGACCCGAGGTGTCGTCACCCTTCCGGTCGGAGCACTTCGAAGCGCCAACAGTGCCCGAACCGCGCGAATCCGAACGCCAGCTGGCTCTCGAGCCGACCGATAACTGGCAGCACCAGCGCGGACTCCGCCGCGACGGAGGGGAGATGACCTCGGCCTCCCCCCGGGCGGTACCGTACCAAGCGCGCCGGGCCGGGCTGGGACCCAGAGACGTACAAGGCATCCCTGAACCATTAATCTAGAAAAATCCGCTGCATGACGACGGGCTTATATATATATATATATATATATATATATATATATATATATATATATATATATATATACATGGGGCTGACACATATAAATGCGATACACGCACATACGCTCACTTAACATTGCATACACTGAGGTTTGTATGCCATGCCGAGCGTTGTTTTCTGTTTTCAACTTGTCCCGTTCTTTTTGTATGTACGCCACACCATTTCCAATAGCCCGACGCCTGTGACGTCAACGTAAAATCGCATACATATGCGAAAGGTTTTTTCCCGCGCCTACCAGTAACTGCGTCGTGCAATTTGCGTGCAAAGTGAAAGAGGGGTTTGCCGTGGTCACACCGCTGCAAGAAACTGAAGTCACGCCTCGACAAGAACCCATTGCGCGAACAATGTCTGAAATTAAGCCGATGAGACTATAAGCATGGCGCTGTTAGAGAACATTACCAACGAAGTAGTATTTGACATAAGTGATAAGCGCCAGATAAGCCAGAAGTTAGAATCTTTCAAGGGTTGTACACTGCGACCCATTTTTAGTCTTTTTAGCGGCATGACACTTAAGCAATGCTCTGAAGTTTTGCCTCCCGATTGTAACAAAACGTACCCCATTAGCCTGGAAATCTTACCCGCCCTTGACGATATTCTGTACCCTGTCTCTGAATATATTTTCGGACAGAAAATTGATCAAACCTTTTGCAAGAATGATTTCAGGGACAGCGGCCCAGCTAGGCATACATTGTTGCAATGATAACGATCTTATCACTCCAATTAATGCGTCACTCCAGATAAAAGGCGCGTTTTTTCCTGCCCCAGGTTTTCCGCGGGCAGTACCGAGCGATCGCCTACGTTATGCAGCGTTATCGCTCGGCCGCATTCAGTCTGCCACTGTGGCGGGTATACGGCTGGCCCTTCACCAACCCAGCTACCGGTGCTGCGACGATTCCGCAGCCGTACCCGGTCAGCACTGGGCGGCGGCGGCGCGCGCAGCTGCACCCGGCCAGCATTGCGCGGTGGCGGCGCGCGCGGCGCCTCACCTCTCCATGTCGGTTCTTGGTGTTGACGTGGGTGCCGTGGCGGAAGTGGATCATGAGCTCGGCGTACCGGATCAGTTCGCTGACATTGCCCTGCCTCGCCATCTTGTGGATCAGTCTGCGCGGGGGACAGCGAATGTCAGCACGACGCGACGAACCGAGCCCGCGCCGGCGTGACGTCGCCGCGGTCTGCAGCGATGCATGTGCACGTGGCCACGTGACGCGGCCGATGGCCTCCTTGAGGACCGGGCCAGTCCGTAAACAAAAACAAATGTGCCAGAACCCAGGGCAGACATTACATAAATCCTGAGAAACTGACGCCGACATAAACTGAACGAATGCCAACTGGTCGACCTGTGATTTCCCACTGACCCTGCTGACCTTGCTGACCCTGCTGACTCTCACATGTCTCTCGCCACCGAGCGACTATCGCTACATTCGCACTTCCCGCCTTCCCGCCGGGGACTTCCCGCCTAAACTGGCATCGAGATTTCACAGCGGATGACCGGCAGCAACTACATGCGTACTGAAACAACAGGGCCACGACCCGCCGCGCGCACGGCGCAGCGGCTGACCCCGCGGGGGAGAGCGCCACCGGCGGGCGGCGCGCCGGCGGCGCAGCGTTCGCTCACATGTCCCCATCCAGCCGGCTGCGCCGCTGCGCCACCACGTAGGTGAAGAGCGCCTGGAAGGCCCTGGTTCGCGTGACGCCGGGCGGCAGGGCGGCGTCGCTGAAGCGGGGCAGCAGCGCCAGGATGCGCCGCGCCTTGCGCAGCGCTAGGCCGTCCAGCTGCACTGTCTGGCCCGACTCCCGCGGCAGCGCGGCCGCCGCCGGCGGCGGCACCCACGCCGGCGGCGCCTGCAGCAGGCTGTCCACCTGCTGGCGCTCGTTCGGCTGCACGACGCCCAGGAACGCCTCGATATCGAAGTCGATGACGGGAAAGGCGGCTGGCGCCGGCCGCGGCGCGGGCAGGCCGCCGCCCGCCGCGTGCGGCATCGCCAGCTCCATGTCGTCGGGGTTGGCTGCAACGGGCGCGGTTTGTTTACGGCCGGCCCGACCAGCGGACGGGAGCTCAGGCCAGCAGTGCCGCTCGCCGGTCTGCCGTGGCGCTCGCCGCCGGATCAGACCGTCGAGCGCACCAGGACAGCAGACAAGCACACACGTGGGCACGGCTGTCGGACACCCGGCAGACACGGCAGTGACCTCCACCCGCGGAGCAGACCGCACACTCGAGACACACGGCCGATGCCTCGCCGGACAGAGCGGCCACACGACCCCAGGCCGGCAACTTTACCCGGTCCCAAAATACGCTGACGTCAAACGTCGGGACGGCGGGCACACAACACTCGCACGCACACACCCCACACACAGACACATACACATACACCGAGGTTAGTCGCACTGCAGTGCTGTCGCAGCAGTCGTCGCGCACCGACCGCGTGCAGTCACCGGTCTTTCCCGTGACGCGCCACCAGTTCAGCGCACTCACCGCTTTACACGGCGGTTCGTCGCCTACAGTCCCTGCGCCTTCTCGCGGGGTCCGCCGCCGTGGTCGCACCGCCGCCGCCCGAGACCCTGCGCCGCGCGTCTGCCAAAGTCGGGGCCCATCGCGCACTGGCGGCCCGGCGCCGGCGCCGCCGTGACGCCACTACCGGCCGGGGGTTTACCGGACGGGCCGAAGGCGGCGGCCGAGGCGAGGCGCGCCGCCGGGCGGCGCTGCCCGCGACGCGAGAGGCCGCGAGTCCGCGCACCGCGCACGGGACGTGATGGACTTCCGAGCAGCGCTCGCCCGAGGACCGGGAGAGCGGTGAGAGCTATCGTGGCACGCGGCGTTCTGATGTCACCGGAAAACGCGTCGTAAGCGCAGATGTCGCCCGCTGATAAGATAGGGCCAGTGATGACGGCCCGTAGCGATGACTTCACGTCACCTCGCTGGAGTGGTCAATTTCGAGATACCAGTCTAATGTGCGCGGAAAACTCAAAGAAACGATCGCATGTGCTCATAATTTTCTTCCACGCACGGCAAGATTTCGACGCCGTCCCCTCCAGTCCAAAATCTCACGTACCGCTCTCATAATTTGCATCATATCAGCATCCTGGCAACCTCGGTCTTCTCGACCCTGACTCATTTGGTCCTCTGAACGCTGACTCATTCGGGCCTCTCGATGGACAGCGCGCAGACAGCTGCCGGCGCTGGGTTTCTCGATACACCGGGTCGCGAGGTAGTACTTTGGACCAAACCCGGGGCAGTGCACCCCGACATCAGTTCCTCATCCACAGGCGAGCGGCTCGGCGGCCCAACTGTACGAGCCGGCGGGCGCCTCGGTGACCTCGAGCGCGACCTTCGCTGTCGTGCCGCCGCGTGAGGGCGGCGGCTCGTGACCGCGCACCACGCGCAGCCGGGCGCACCGCTGGCAGCTGCCCCGTGCGCCGATCGAGGGCAGGTCACCTCGCGGACACCGGTCACCGCGCATCTGCCCCGCCCGGTCCATCCGCCGGGTCACGCTGACCAGAGCCCGATGCGGGACACTCCGATGGGGGCGGGTCACCCACCGCCCCAGCTCAGCGCGCACATAGCTGACCCTCTGCCAACAGCACAATCGGCCTGATTCCGACTTAGCACCGTCACAGCTCGACCCGCCCCGCCCACGGTCAAGGCACAAGCACGACAATGCCAGTCTGTCATCTTCTGAAGGCAGCCGTTAGCTGTACGACGAACCTGCCAGTTCAACGGCACGCTTTTAATACAACTCTTGACATTTCGCGCCCAGGAAAAATAACGGAAAATCCGCAAGATAAAACATGTGTACGAACCTAAAAAAATGTAACACAGTTTCGTTGCATTTTAGGAAAATATATGGCAGCCATAGTGCGACGAGCTAAGCGAGCTACTGAACATCGTGTTTACTATCACCATTTTCATGAGTATGACCGATCCTATGACTACGAATCGATCCCACTTTCAAATCCGTCCTGACGTGTGTTGTTCTGTGCAATACATGATTAAAAGCCATTTCCAAATGCATTGTGTTAACACTAGCGTAAATAAAATCATAGCATCACTATGTTGATATATGTTGAATGCACGTGACAACAAGAGATGTTGTTCTATGTGTCGTCCCGCTGTCGTGCATGCCCTCCTATTACGTCTGGATGGTGCGCAACTCCCAACCGCGAACAGGAGGCAAGCGCATTCCACACGGTTAGAGCTCATGTAAGCTTACGTAACGAAACTACAAAAAAGAAGGTGGCGTGCCAGCACCGACAGGAAATCAACATACCCGACACGAACCGTTGAAGTAAAGCCGACTACGGCCGTCAGGCGGATGTACGATCACGGCCGCGCGTCTCCTGACCAGGTGGCATTACATCGGCATTCCGCTGGCTGTGCCGAGCTGCCGGCTAGAAGGCGCGAGCTGCCGGCTACAAGGCGGGAGCTGCCGGCTACAAGGCGCGAGCTGCCGGCTACAAGGCGCAAGCTGCCGGCTACAAGGCGCAAGCTGCCGGCTACAAGGCGCAAGCTGCCGGCTAGAAGGCGCGAGCTGCCGACTACAATCCGCGAGCTGCCGGCTAGAAGGCGCGAGCTGCTGGCTACAAGCCGCGAACTGCCGGCCAGAAGGCGCGAGCTGCCGGCTACAAGGCGCAAGCTGCTGACTACAAGCCGCGAGCTGTCGGCTACAAGGCGCGAGCTGCCGGCTAGGAGGCGCGAGCTGCCGGCTACAAAGTGGCGCCCGAAACCGCGGCCACGGCCACGTGGTCTCATTGCGCGCCTACAAGCCACGTGGCCTCTGCCACGGGCGGCGAGCTGTTCGCCGGAAAGTCGTGCCCGGGCCGTGCGGCCTGGCGGACATGGGTCGGGTGCCGCACGAGCCGGGCTGTAGATAGTGCGACTGCCGTGCTGCATCAGCTGGGCTTTCCACAGCCCTGTATGTGTTGTTCTGATTGGGGCCCACGACGCACCCAGCTGCCGAGGCTATATGGTGTCGCCCGCCTCTCACCCTGGCAGGAAGGACGGACACCGCGGGGAATCGAACCCTGCACCTCTGATTTTCCAGACGCGCGGTGGCTAATGCAGTTACCGTTAACCACCACGCTATCGGCACACCACAATCCTACACGTTCCCACAAATCTTCCGATTGTGGTGGATTGCCATCATGCGGTCGCGACCATGCGGCGATCTCCCTCTTGCAAACATTGCACAACACCAACAAACCACTTGCGCGTGCCCGCTGGAAGGTTACACCATAACTGCACCCTTAATTGGACAGCTCCTCCGACCCGTCAGGCTGCCCTGCCGTCGTCAGTATCCATCACGCGATTGAAGCTGGTCAGAAGCTGGCCAACCGGCGTCAGAAAAGCACGTTTTGGTAAGCACTTTGTCCAGTTTCCCAATACACACAACGTAAGTTATTACAGCGTGGAAACAGGAACATAACTGGTAGCAGGTCTGTAGCCCACACCTTGCGGTTGAAGGAAATGTTCCGCATTTGAAGGTATAGAGGCTAGCACCAGATACGAAATACGTTCACTTGTACCTATGGATGCTTTTAAATGCGAAGGACTGCTCTAGAGGACAAATTTTCACTTTCAGTAAATATGCTCCTCAACACGTCACCCGACTGCGTCCTGGAGCATTTATACGACATAGAAGTGTCTGCCAAACTGGCCGCGCGAAATTGCAACCGTAGCAGACGGGTTGACTCCCTTGTAGTACTTCAACTTGGCGAGAGGTGTAGTGAATTGTTTAAAGACCCCAAATACCGTTGTGTGCTGTTCTCGTCTTTTCACACTGTGTTCTTGCATATTTGGCCGAAATTTAATGTTGTTTCTTGCATTTACATACTCAACCATGGCGCTAATCCTACGTTTTTCGATTCCCAGACTTCATTCCGCCACGCTCGTACCATTATCCACCTTTCCACATCATGCAGCACAAGACATGAGCCCTGTTCGTGATTTAAACGGTACGCATTACATTGGTTGAGGGGCAATTACAGTATGCTATCGTCAGCAATGGCGTTGCCGTACGCCCGACACGCACAACTTGATCATACTTTTTCTGGTCTTGAGCACCACATGACCAATAAGGTGGCAGTATTTGAGTGACGTTTCTATCGCGTCATGAACGACTGGGTCATCCTGGAATATGCTGCACGAAATAGTTCGCGCAAGATCGCGGGCGTCTCTCAGAAACCAGAGGGGTTTAACTCTCACGAAGGGCGCGGCTGTGAGCTGCACTCAATGATCTTCAAAATGCCTGCTTCAGATCACAACCCCATACAAATGTGGAACACTTCCTTCAAAGGGAGTCTTCCAAATTTGTACGGGGTTTCGGACTGTAATAGCCATCTCGAAGATCATTCGGTGCAGGTCATAGCCTCGTCCTTCTTGAGGCCTAAATCTCCCTAGTTTCCGAGCAGCACGCCCGCGAAGATGTGCAAACTATCTTGAGCAGATTGCTTCGAGGCTTCCCAGGCGTCCATGCCGCCATCATATCGTTATTTAAATCCTGCTGTTCCACTGGCCACGCGGCGTTCAAGGTGAACAAAAATTATGATTGTCGAGTCGTTCATACCTGGTGTTCGTGAGCACAGTTTCAAGATATAACGGTCGGCAACCGGCTCTAAACCAATGTTGTGCAAGCTACGACAGATTCTAACACGAATTACGTCTTGTGCTGCATGGTACAAGAAGCTAGACATTTGTCCTAACTATTACGGACGTAAGACATGTGATCAAATCAATTAAGAAAAGCGCTGTAACCAGGTCTGTGAATACAAGCGCCTTACACTCACGGGTAGTACGAACACCACAAGAAGCAGCCAAACACCTAATTATATTTGGTTCAGCACACAACCAGCACCGCCGCGGGCCACTTCTTCCGAGATTGAGGAACTACAAGTGAATGCTGTCATGGAACCGTTTCAATGACGCAACCAAGCAAGGACCTATTGAGGATCAGATTAACTAAAAACGGAAATTATGTTGTCTGGAGCAGTCTTTTCCACTTACAAACATGCCAATAGTATATGTGAGCTGTTTCGCCACATCTGATGCTTGTTTCATCATCTTCAAATATGAAGCATTCCCTTTAAGCCAAACATGCCGCCAACCAGGTTTCCGAAGCGCGCAAACATGCCGTCAGCAGCCAGGCTTGCTACGGCCTTCCCAGTCAGTCTGTTCATCTACCAGAGGAACCAGGCGTTGGCACGGAAAGTGTCCGTTCCACACCGCAAGAGGCCACCGCCTTGCTTCTATCTGGATAATTCAGCAGCAGAGACAGTCTGGCTTTGGTCGAATAAGTCCACGACACTCGCATACTTATAAACTGGTTTAATAAGCATGGACTGGACCAGCCATTCTCGCAGCCAACCAGCCATGCTCGACCGGCGTCAAGCACCGCATGACGGCGGTAGCTCTCAAGCGCAACACATGAGAAGCCGTTGGTCCAATTCGTTGCCACTCGAAATCCAAACCAGGTGGGCGACAGACGGAAAAAAGGAATTAACACAAAAACGGCAAGGTCACAGAAAATTTACTAAATTCTGTTAACACGTTCCCTGATGTCAAAGTTGTGCCTAAAAGGAGCCATAAGTCTGCGACGCTGGTGACAATTTGCATCGAACTATGACACGGAAGGCAGTTTGGCAAGACAGCTACGTTCATTTTCCTTTGCAACCAGCCTCAGATCAGAGAGCCGCTACGCATGCGAATTATAACGGGTTCACAGCCAATCGGATAGAACAGCTCCCAATTGTGATCACAAATATTGCCAACGGACATTAATATGGCCACAAATATTACCAACAGACATCAACGTGGCCGCAACCACCTAACAGAGCACACTCATTCTCCGTAGACACACATTTAATTACCTGAGCAAGGCCCCATGTCAAATCTGGACAACGCCCAAACTCCTCTTGTTGAGAGCTCTCGCTATGGATAAGCACCGAACTGAGGAGAAAACAGATGTCCCACGTCAACGTCTGGCACACACAGATGGGTTGGAGCTCTGAAAGGACATCGCAGTTTGGTCTGAGGCAACTCGCAGGTCAGGGAGGAGTATATGTAATGGGCCAAAAACTGCACCACCTTAATATGCATTGCTACTGTTGTTTACAAAATGTAAAGAGGATTAGACTTGACTTCAACGAGTAGAGATACATTACCACCGGAAGGAAGCTGATGAAAAACGGCACGCTAATGTGAACTAAACGAAAAAACGTGGGCGACGATACGGAGACGGAGCGAGCACTGGGAACGGGGCAGCGGCCCGGACCAGTAGCCAACTGATCCCTACCAACTTCCCACGAGCACTGGCGCGGCACGCCAAACCACAGGGACGAGCCGCCACCGAAAAACATCTAGTCGCCAAGCCGACAGCAGCCGAGCAGGATCGACGTCTGCCACGGGCAGGCGGAAAAGACGACTAGAGTGGCAAAGATATACGGTTCCGGCGAGCGTGGCAGAACAGATAGCAGAAGAGATATTCAACACTAGTTGGGAAGCACCGAATAAAGGAAAAGGTCACTCTTAAATGGCAGGCGAAACGCCATAGATACATGTTAGAGCAAGTTGCTGAGGCATACAGATGCATGATGGACCGCAATTTTGACTGTGAACGACGCTTATAATCATGCTTGGGATGCATTACACCGTATTATGCTCCCTCAATCGACGGGATCGCGTTATATCTCACTCTGATGCCATTCACGATTAGCTCATGCGGGTGCTGTATTACTGATGGCTCCATGCACACCACTTCACACATTTCCTCCACACTTATGACTCATTGGTACTTCAACCCGCTGGCAGCTATGGCTTGGCTCTTTTGACCAATCTCCGAATGGCAAGGCGCGGCTTTCGGGGGCAGCAGCGGGGCACACGGAAACAGTGACGTCACGTCCACTTCCGCTCCGGAAGTAGAGCCCTCCCAGCCATGAGACAACACCAGACTTGGAGGGTTGGGATTCACTCTGCACCACATATTTCAAGGGGTGGTGTGTTATCTTGCTTGACAGGGTATTTTTGACACAAATCAATGCTGACAAGACCAATCATATAACAGAAAGAGCACAGCAAATGATGTCCCAACTACGGTTGCATGCAGTTTATGAAGTTGATAACACAGACCCCATTTTAATTCAACTAACCCTACCTCCTCATTTCATTGGGGCCAATAATCATATTTTTAGCTGCTGTGATGTATCTAAGGCAGCTGATGCTCACTATTATTCATTTTGAAAGCTGGTGTTCAGACCATGCCCACATTTCTAACATACTGCATGCTTTCAAAACCTGTTCTTAACTAGATTATTCCTTGCTATCATAAATACACAGGCTTGTTTGCTCAATGGCTGGGAGAAATCCTGATCCTCATGAGGATTCCTTGAGTATGTATCTTTCCATTTGCATCCACCTACAAAAAGCTCCAAATTTGGGTAGCGGAATAAGCACTAGATAACACAGGATTTGGGGGCATCACAAGCAACACCAAGCACAGATCATGTTCAAAGGGAAACTGGGTGGAAATCTGGGAACAATGCCAGTCAAAACAAATGTGATATTCCCAACTTACCAGGCTTTAACACTTTTTCAATATCAGCACAAAATTATATAATTATTCAGAAGCATGTGCTAAATCATCCATTCACCAAAATGAGCAACACACACACTGGCACATCCTCCAAAGTGGTCTATAGAGTCAAAGGCTACCCATGAGCAATTCATGATAAATGGGCAATGCAAAGCAGGCCACAAAGAAATTATGACCTATAGGTCCATGTGATCAATATAGTATGACATGTATATCTACATAGGCATACAGTATGTGTGGGATCAGGACCATGACAAGACATGAAGACAACACCAGAAGATTCAGCACATTAATGCCACTTCTATCCAGAGCAGGGGACAAACTTGTTGCCTAGAATGTCTCATAGGCAACACCATCCTGATCTACTTTTAGCACAAGCAATGTCACACCATGTGTGATATTTTGCACTAAATCTACCCAGACTTTGACTGTTTGGTTACCACACCAAGAGCTTGATGAGACTGGGACCAGCAGGCTAAGTGGCCTTTTATAATTCCTGATCACTGTAAGGTAAGGTAAGGTATGTCAGAAGCTGGGAAAACAACACATTTGTGTTTCTATATTGCCAAATTTCTTTCCATGCAGCATCCACAGGGAAGACCCTATGAAAATACAAACTGGGAGGAACTCCTCCCTCCTCAGGAGCCAGCTTGAACCGAGTACTTTTGAAGAGGTCTCAGCACGGATAACAGACCAGCACACAGTGGAGCTAAAGCCCACCTGGTCACACCTATGGTTAGGAAGCAGCCAATGTGCATTGCATTGAGCAGTCTATGAACTAAGTGGCCAGTTACGCATCACTTTAAGCGGGCCCAATATTACACTTACCTCAAGACTTGCTTCAGCTTTTCTTCACAGATACGCTTATATGTTTCAGCTGCCAAAAAAAAACTGAAGAAAGCGTGCGGACATTGATGGGTCACCACCAGCCCGGTGCGGACATTCTTGGCGTAGCGCACTCGTTTGCGCCTTTGCGACAGGAACACCACCGATAGCAGAATTCGCGGAACGGCCCACCCCTTTTCTTCTTTATTACACTCGCCTATCCCCAATGGCCGGACTGGGTCAATATTATCGTCGTGGGTAAAATGGGTTACGCGCAATTTGCCACAAAGGTCGTCGGGAATTTCCCATCGCCTTGTTTTGCTGCCAGATTCCTTTCTTGTAACGGGAAAATTTGCAGTGAATATGTTTTCTCTACAGCAAATGAGTGCTGAGCATTAATTCCCTATTGTAAAAGTAAAAATTTTTTCTGGCATATGTAAAGGTTAAAACTAAAAAAATATATGTCACTTTTATCCCAAAAAGTGGGCTCCAAAATAGACCATTTTATCTAACTTAGCATTCATTTTACCCAAGGGAAAGTGAAAACAGTGGTTTACTTTCAGATATCGAAATGCATTCCAAAGACGAGTTCTGCGTGCATGATTCGAGGTCGACTTGAGCTGTGTTTGCCCGTTGGGTGGGGATGGGAATGGGGATGCGTCGGCGCTTACTCTGATTTTTTGGAGCTCGAGCGACAGGATTCAAGTAGGTTGGCAGGAGCTAGTCTGAGTGCCAGAACTGCCAGATATGGTTTTAGGGTAGATATATGAATTATCTGTATATGGTAGGATTTATGTGCTGCAAGAAGGCCAGCTTATGCTAAAATGCCAGCAGACGATGTACCTTGCTGTGTGATATGGGCTCAAAATATTAGGGGAACAGGGATAACTGTGGTGCACTTGGGTCTCCATTATTGAGAGCATGCAACTAAGTCAATTCCTATTTTATGTTGACTTGATATAAACATTGATTATGCAATAGAGATGTCAATTTGTTGTAGAGTTCAGGCTGCTTCCTCACTCATGGACCTCAACCTCTGTATCTGAAGGCCTCATGCCATTGGTGTGCTTGGTCCCAGACTGATGGTATTGACAAGCAGAGAACCACACTGAGCATTGATGCAGTTCCACTGTATATGTGGTGGAGGGCCTGCCCCAGCCATCTCATCAATTCCCAGTTGAAATTAAGCCAACAGCAATCAAATTCTGCATGGGTTAAGCCAGAAGCAGTTCATTTCATACCTTGAGCTGGTTGGAGGTGAACATAGGCTAAACAAAAATACTGGAAGTAAGGATATATTTGAATTTTTACATAATACCAGAAACATTTCTTGCAGCGTAAATATGAGGCAAACTAAACCTGTTTTAAGGCTGTGTTAACTATTAGCCTTAAAGACATCAAAGTTAGATGCATGTAAACCTTAGAAGCATCCTACGATCATTTGGATGGGCTCTGTATGATGGGTGCAGTTCAGGCACCTGAAAGCCACAACTTACTAACTCATCTGCTGCACCTAGAATAAGCTCCACTGAAATTGGTCATGCAAATAAGCAACATATCCTGCAGTCAAAATCAAAAGTGACTAAGAATGGGGTGTTCAGAGTCTTAGATGGAATCAGTGATGTACCATGTGTTAGGATCTGAATGGAGTAAAAGTTAATACAAAGCTATTATTTTCATAAACTTGCATATTGCTTTTATGCTTAGGAGACAAAACATTGAGTGGGACGCAAAAATGGATTGTAAGACCCTCACCTAAATTTTATTGGGCCCAGCCTCCATTAACACCCACTGCCCATAATTTCTCAGGGACTGTGAAAAGCATTTCAAAGAAGAGATCAATTTTAACACTTTTGAAACATATACAAGTGGTGAACTGCCATCATTTCATGAGGAGGGAGGATACACTGACCCTGTAGTATGTTGAGTTTTGTTAGATCTGATTTACTCTGTATTTTGTGTTCTCATGCAGGGTTTGTTTCTATCTGCAGCACCTACTCATTGACAATTGCATGTTTACCTTACTGATAATACTGACCTATAATATCTGCTTTATCTATCTCACAGGTTTCCTGCAGCTGTTATTAGCCAGGTGTATCAAGCCATGAAGCTGATGAATTATCAGGTGGTCTTTGCTAAGCACCCAGGTAGGTAAAGGTATTGTGAATTGATCATTGATGGCCAAGGTACCCACATGTTCAGAATATAGTGAAGCAATGATCTGGTACATAAATTGTCACCTTCATTGTGCATTGCCCACAGGCATAGGTCTTTGGTGTGAAGTTGTCAGCAGTGCCATGAATCTTGAGTGGCCCTTTGGTGGCAGCATCATTGTTTGTGGCGCTGTGGCATGCTGGATTGAAAATGCTTGGTTCCTTCCTCCCTAGAAAAAGAGTTGTGATCCCATGATGGTCAGTTGGAGGTCAGTCAGTCATGAAGTCATGGTCATGCCCATTCTTGTGGTAAAAAAATAGCTGTAGTTAATGTGTGATGCCACTGAAAACCCCATCTTTGTTAGTCTTCTCTCAATTCAGTAGTGGCTTTCATCAAGATTTTTTTACCCCTAAGGCACTTTCCATGTTTGTTCTTAGCATACAGGTAGCAGAGTATCACCTCTATACAATGCTGCTGACTTTCATAATTTCCTGGCTTGTACCCATTCGTCCTCAATGCTGGATCTGCTAAGTAAATAAGTCATCCAATTTTTGTTTTGTTCTTTGGTGGGTGTGGTAACTTTGTATCAGCAATTCTCAGTCTCTTCTGTTAAGGTTGGCTGTGCTCTGTAAATCAAGCTTTAGAACTACCAATTTGAAATAGCTTCAGAAAAATTATGACATTTCTGATGTGAAATATTATCTGCTTCTCCAGTGGCTAAGTTGTTCGAGATTCACGAATTGCACAGACCTTTACTGCTGCAGTAAACACACATTTAAGAATTGATGTTGCTCAAATTTGCAGTGTAGACCACAAGATGCAGCATGTGGATGTGCCTGGCTGTATCTTGCGGTGCTGGTGTTATGAAGTGGGCATGAGCAGTGTAGTATCTGCCAAGATCCGTGGCAGGGCTGTGAGTTATGATGCATGCAATCATGGTCTTGGGAGAGGGCTCAGCACATAGTGAGAGGACTGACGCAGCTATCCTGTACTGTTTGAGAAGCCATTTGAGCAATGATCTCCACACAGGTGCTGGTAACATAAGAATTGGCCGGGCTTCTGACGTGTTCACATGCTTTTGAACTTGTGTGAACTCATAATCTTGCACGTGGTTCTTGTCACATGCGTACATCTTGCGTGCATTTCGTTACGTGCGTACATCACCATCACTACCCGTGCATCATCAGAAATGCAAACATAATGTAGTTTGTCATGCTGGTTGTAAGCATGCATTTTGAAATGTGGACACAGTATGAGGCATCCCTACATGCAGATAGCATTACCGCATTAGCTTCCCTTTCAAGGCATGTATATGGTCAGACCACTGAACAGGCCATCCTCTGTTGATTGATTGTCATCACCAGCCACGTGGCTGCCCTATGGTGCCGAACGTCAGCCCAGTCGGCGCCGCCTTTCCCTCAGGTGTGAACGGCTCGCCGGCAGAGGACAACTTCCGGTACGAGAGCTGCGAGTACCCTGCCGACCCGGCCGCCGGCCATGTGCTTGTTCAGAACCTGTACCTGTCGGTGGATCCGGCCCAGGTACGTCCAGCTCCTCCCTGTCCTGCCCTGTCCCACCCTGTCCTGCCCTGCCCTGCCCTGCCCTGCCCTGTCCTGCCCGGCTCTGCCCTGGCCTGATCTGATGTGATCTGCCCTTTGCTGTCCTGCCCTGTCCTGCCCCGTCCTGCCCTGCCCTGCCCTGCCCTGCCCTGCCCTGCCCTGCCCTGCCCTGCCCTGCCCTGTCCTGCCCTGTCCTGTCCTGTCCTGCCTGTCCTGTCCTGTCCTGTCCTGTCCTGTCCTGTCCTGTCCTGTCCTGTCCTGTCCTGTCCTACACCCCGCCCCGCCCCATCCCGCCCCGCCGGGGCTGCCTGGTCAGCTCTGTCTTGTCCTGTCCTGTCCTGTCCTACACCCCGCCCCGCCCCGCCCCGCCCCGCCCCGCGGGGGCTGTCTGGTCAGCTCTGTCCCGGCCGTACCCGTGGCTTGAGGCGTGCGAACCGTCCATATTCGGCGCGGAAGCGGGACGCCCTCTGACCTCTCGCGGATCCTGTCCTGGGGTGGGAGCGCGTCCGACCCATGCATGAGGGTGACTCTGAAGCCCTCGCATTGCGTACAGATCTGCTCTGCATCATATCAGCGTAAGATTCACGCGAACATTGTATTGTTTTGGTCGTCTGCTATGTGCAAGTCCACGGTACGTTGCTTCCTACCACAACGGTGGATACGCGTAACCATGACAACGTTGTGTCGCAGAGATGCCAGATGAACGAGGCGAGCGGTGCGGATTACTTGCTGCCGTGGCGATTGGATGAGCCAGTGCCCGGTCTCGGCGGAGTGGGCAAAGTGCTGAGCAGCAACCACGCCGACTTCCGGTCCGGTGACGTCGTCATGTCTGGCTTCTTTGAATGGCCGTGGCGGCTGTATTTCTCCATCGACGCCTCCAAGATCATGAAGGTGCGGTTACGGCCGCTCTGTTAACGCTCTAAATGCATATCAACGGCATCGGTGCCATGTGCGTTGGCACAAATATGGCTAATGCATTTGTGCGGTCTGGAGTCGGACATCTCAAAGTTTTCGGTATTGGTCGGCATATAGAACAGGCACGAGAGGCATTCCACCATCACTTCCCTGTCCTTGAACATTTAGTTTTCCACTTTTGTGTAATAAATCAATCGTCAGAAGGAAGAAATCGTAGCCAAAGTTTTGTTTTGGGGAGTCTCGCTCGATGCTGCGGATCGAGTACCCGGCACGGCCCGGAGTATTTGTGGTGACATCCTCGCACCATATCGTCACTTTGTCTCGGTCCGGACTGGCAACCGGAATCAAAGCCGTGCATAACTGCATCGCTCTTCAGCTCATACTGGGGAAACAAGGTGTGCGGCACTCATTTTATTATGCCACATAATCCAACGTAATCAGTGAGATAAATATTCCCCCGATAACCGATGCTGGGCGTCATATTCTCAGCACATTCATTCCGCGTAGCAGGATAGGCTATACCCGTCTGAAACGGCTAAGGACACGTTCATGCCTTGCGTACTAACTGCAGACTCGCCGCAGATTCTGCGTTAGTCAGCTGTTGCAGATAAGAGATGCCGCATTTAAGCCCGCAGGCCCGCTAAGCGTGGGTCAAAAGAGCTAGAAAGTGCTACTTGTTTTTTTCTGGAACACCGAACGAACCCAGAATCTGCTACGGATGGGACCTGCGTGCTCAAATGTGGCACCTCTAGACTGCAACAGCTAACTGGCTACAGAATCATTGCAGTCTGTGGCCTTACGCAAAGTGTGAACTGTAGAACTGGTCTGGTCTGTAAATTGTGCGTTCTCGTCTGTAAATTAAGTGCCAGCAGGGTCCGGCGGCAAAGGTCAATGCCGCTTTAATATGCTGATAAAGCCAAACAGGCATCGGTACAGACGTAGTAAGATAAGAAACGGCCTGGCTTAGTAATTCTATCTCAACCCGTTTCAGTAGCCGGCAGTCAGAGCCAGGGGCGTTGTATCATGTTCAGTTGGGGGCTCCTGTCTCCGCCCCAATTATGCGGGGAAAGTATGCCAAAGACGAAGCTAATCCTGTGTGTTTTGAAAGGAGGTTCAGCCACTTTTCAGTACCACTTCATCCCCCCCCCCCCCCTCCTCTCTCTCTCTCTCTTTCTCTCAGCTTATCTCACAAGGCGACATTCCTGGCCCGGGCTTTGTTGGGGTGGCGTACACTTAAATATCATCGTCTTGAGTCGCGTTGCGACCCTACGGCGCATGCGTTTCCCAGAGAAGGACGAGCCGCGGCCGCGCACATCCGTCCACCAGCAGTTCGCCAGCGCCCCTAAGACACTAGCAGTTCCAGTGCTCCAGGACGCGGGCTGATACGGGCTGTGGCGGGCAGTTCGGACTGTGGCGGGTGATACCCCTGTGTCGACTCCTCTGCAAATCGAGGGTTGCGGTCTGTGCGTCCTGCACGTGCAGCACTTGAACGCTGCGTAAACAGACGTCGTAAACTGCGTAAACAGATATCAGAAAACACACATACAAAGGCGCAAGCCGGCTCGCGCCGCCAGCAAGGCATGAGTGGTGTCCACGGTACGTGAGAGGCAAAACTGACGCGGGTATGGGAACTCCCGACAGAGGAGGCATGTCTTGGAATGACGTCACCCATTGAACAACTTGCACGTCGAAGTTTACAAGTCATTGTTCCTGACTACATGTTTGTTTTGGCTGTTGGAAGATTAACAAGACCGCTTGGATGGAATCGGGGCCAGTGTCGTAGGAACCAACTATGCACAAACGTCTAGGGATACCGGTGGTGTGGCGGCTAGGCTGCGCGTCTGGGAAATCGGAGGTATGGAGTTTGGTTCCCCGCGGTGCCAGCCCTTCCTGTCGGTGCGAGGCAGACGACGACATGTGGACTTTTTTCTCAAGGTTGGGGGGTCCGAAGCTCTGGTCGGGGGGGGGGGGCTCCAGGCTACCTCCCCGCCCCCCCCCCCCCTTGCGCCCAACTCGTACAGTGTTGCTGCCCTCAGTACTCTAATGTCGACTCTTGCACCCTAACACTTTTCACCTGTGTCACTGCAGTCACCGAAAAAAATCGCCAGATGGGGCAAGACTTGGTTCTTGAACTTACCATGTAAACTGAAGGTTTTGGACCATGCACGGGACAACCACCGTGCATTTGTAATGGCATTGTTGAATTCAGGACCGGCTAAGAGTGCTTGCAGGACTTTGAAAGCATGTTGGGAGTGCCAGCTGGCTGATGGCCACGCAGCAGCTGTGAGTTTTAGCATTCGTTCTGATCACTTCTAATCATACCCTTATTTCATTATGATATCGGCTTCAGCGCATGAGTGATTTCATATCCCTGTGACTGTTTACCTTTCAGTATCTAATCTTGCCACATCGAATCCTGGAACATCTGCTATTGGCAGTGTTGTGCAATGTGTGCTTATGACGAACGCACCGATAACATTCAAGTTGGATTTGTTGGATGGCATGAACGATGCGATTGCCACAAGTCGCCGTTTGCCAATACCATATTCTGGTATTGTATTCTGCTTTATGAAAATGAGCACCCAATTCCCCCCCCCCCCCCTCCCTCGCCGTCATGGTTCAGACGTGATCGACTTGGAATATTCCTGCAGCACGATACCATGTTAGGGCGATGGTGGTGGATGGCGTGTGTTTCATGTGGAGTACGATGATCGATCTGTTTCCCATTCGCAGGTTGACGAGCGATTGGTAGGCAAGCGTTTGTCGCTTCCAATATCTTGCCTGGGTCTCGTCGGCCTGACAGCGCTGTTCGGCATCACCGAGAGGTCAAAGCTGCGAGAACTGAAAACAGATGGCAGCACCAAGCGGACGCTTGTCGTTAGCGGTGCTGCCGGCGCCTGTGGACATTTGGCTGGTCAAATTGGCAGGTATGCCGCATTCAGCATCGTAAATTGCAGTGTTTTCCTAGCGTTTGTTCGATTTACCACAACCGCGCTGCTTGGCTCGGTTGTGGTTACGGACCTTGTGACAGAACTGTTGTCATGTGAATGGTAGTGCATACATGTTCATGAACGCTGGTTTTGAAGGGAATGTCCCACATTTGAAACTATTGAGGAAAACATCAGATATGGTGAAAATAATTTTCATTATAAGTAATGGTATGCAGTCGAGCGCAAAAGACTTCTAGATAACACAGTTTCACTATTGAGTAGTTTCACTATTTACTATCACGCATTATTCAATGTTCGCTTTTATATGTGCCCTTGTTTGATTACGTCTCTTAATATTTTTTTTATAACGTGAGAGTCACTGCATTACGGGCTGCGTCAGAGCTGCCACTGCAGCGGACGGACTGACTCACTTGTAGTAACTGAATGCGCCGCACGGTGTTTTGTTAATTTACGCGCGCAGGATAAACCTGACGATCGCGTGCACGTGCATTGGCCCTTTCTTGTAGTTAATATTTTCAGTGATGTTACATTTTACCTGCATTTGCGTTCTCGGTTACGGTGCTATTTTAAAGGTATTCTATTACTAATATCATGACTGCATAAGCAGTAGGACTCTCCATATTATTTACCACCAAACCAGGTTCGTGATCGAGAACTCCATTTGACGCGTTTGGCTGATAGAAAGCCAAGTGCCCTCCGTTGATGCGGCCATGCTCCAGATGCTCTTGACATTCTCGGCATGAATTCTTGATTCCATAAATTGTATTCTTGACGAGTCAATGGTCATATTGCTTTTGACCTTCAGCGGAGGAGGCGGAACTCTTCGCGTCTTTTGGATTTCATACATCTCTAAGCAATCTCAAAAATAGACGGCGCGAAATAGTCCGCACAAGGTATTGCGCGTGTAGCCCAGAAGCGGGAGGATTTTAAGTTCTAAAAGGGGCATAACTTTGAACTGCAGGGAATGATATCGAAAATGCCGATCTCAATTCAAAATCCCATACACATGTGGAGCAGTTTGAGGATTGGGGTGCCGATCCCATGACAGCGTGTCGCGTGCTGAGCGGTGGTGCTGAGTGGCCGCGTGACCCGGCGTTGACCCGGTGAGTCGTGACTGACCGGCGGCGCGGCGGCGGCCAGGCTGGAGGGCGCTGATCTAGTGGTCGGCATCTGCGGCTCGGCCGCCAAATGCCGCTTCCTCACGGCCGAGGCCGGCTTCGACGCGGCCGTCAACTACCGCACCGAGGACGTGGCCGCCCGGCTCGCCGAGCTCTGCCCGCACGGCGTACACAGCTACTTCGACAACGTAGGCGGCGCCGTCAGCGACGCTGTGATCGGCCAGGTGAGCGGCAGCGTTCGGCCGCCGTCGCGCCAGCTCGGCGCCGGTGCTGACGCCGCCGACGGAGAGGGTCGGTTGGCCCGGCCAGAGGCGGTGTCGGTGCGCCGTCTGCGGTGCACGGTTGGCACGCTGGTTACCGCTGATAAAATGCAGCTTCTTCTTCCGGGTCGTCGTCGTCGAGTCTGGCCACAAGAGTTGGTTTGTGTTGCGTGCGCTCACACAGCCGATTTCTCCAGCTGTGCGAGCACGGGTTTTGGCCCACGAACGCATAATCACATGTGCGTGCGTTGTATTATAGTGTTTTAAACAGGTGACCGGCAAGTGAATGCTATATTGTGCACCGAACCCTTCTTTGTAGTTCGAATTTTAAGCGTTTGTTTCCGCGTTTACCCGATTGTGTTTGTGATGCACCACACTTTTGCGCTGTGCTTTGTACAGGGCTGCTTTGAGAACAGGATAGGAAGTAAGCATTGTTATCAAAGAGGTCATTGCCAAGCCCATCATGTAACTTGGCGGAACTGACTCCGAAGGCCAGACACGGTTCTCAACGTTGGTAATGTCTGCGTTTGCAGATGGTGCCGGGCAGCGCCATAGTCCTCTGCGGACAGATATCCACGTACAATACAGACGCGCCGTACCCGCCTCCCCTGAAGCCGGAAGTGCAGCAGATTGTCACAGAGCGCGGCATTAGCAGGGAGCGGTACCTGGTACTGGAGTACCAGGACAAGTTTGCCGACGGCGTGACCCGTCTCGCTCACTGGCTCAACGCCGGCGCTCTGAAGGTGAACATGGCGTCGCTGGCGGCGAGCTGTTGTCTTGGAAACCGTAGGCGACCTGGATGTTGCGATTCAGGATGTTGTGGCTGGTTGTTAACGGCAGTTAAGGTAGAATCGGCATATTGAGGAGAAAGCGTCGCTGTTTCCACCCTACGCAGTTACATTTGTGGATGGTTGGCAAGCAGCCATCTTGTGAGAATGCACATCAGATCCGGTTAGTCGGGTAAGTTCAGCATTTGGTTGGGAGGAGACAAATATGACTACCGAAATTTGACCCCCTCGAATGCGCTTTGAGGCGTCGAAATGAAGCCTAAAGTGTAATTTTTGTTTGGAATAAGAGGTTCGCCTAAAGATACCGCAAATTCGTGGAGATACCCATCACATTGAATGCTGACTGTTTCTGACCCAAAGAAGAGTTGTCAAACTTCTCCCGACTTTGGTAGTTTTGCGCACTCCTAGCGGTGGGGTTTGACCCAGTGAGCGGAGCGATGGGTAGTCACTTATGAGTCATTTCAAGCAGTTCATGCTGTGATTACTTTCAATTCTCTTTCACCTGCATGTGCACGCACATGGTCACTATCGACCTAAAAGCTGCCCTGATCCGCATTCCCATGCTTGCTGCTTTATGAGTTCGCTTGGTTTCTCTCATACTTCAAATGCGAGACGCATTAATGACGTTAACACCTACAAAACTAATGAAGTTTTCGCGCCCTAAAACCACGTTTGTTCGCGGCAGATGCCCCAATCTTGCAACATTCACTTCTTAATATGACTGCTTATGTTCATTTATATGTGTCACGGTGGGGAGAAGCGGGCACCCTTAATCACTTGTTCTTGGGTGATAGTAGGTAACACAAGATTATAAAGAATACAGGCTTGTGAAGCATGTGTTCAGAAGCGCATTTAGTAGATTTAAGTGGCGCATTGGCAAGGCAGGACGTGTTCTTCACGCGTGCCGCAGTTGCTTGCTAACTGACATGTGTTCGATGAAAATGTCATGATGCATTGTCTTATAGAACGCAAGGTATGTTATCGGTCTGTTTAAGTGTCGAGCTAAACAGTCCACGAAAGACCACATTCAATGACCTTTGGACAAATTCCTGCTGGGAAACTGTTTGGCAGCTTTCACTCGTGTGGCTGGACAGTGGGTGTATGTTCAGGATTATGGCACAAGTCAAGTGCGATAGGTCATTCTGGCGCGCATCGCTGGTTCCAGGCATTGTGACGTCATCGCGAGTGATTGGGGAGGTCGGGTTAGTTGAAGCCTGGAGCGAAACCAAGAAACCGGATAGATTGTATTTTTCCTCGGATTTCTTTTCCGTGTCACATAATAAAAAACATAAGGTGTTCTGTTCTCACACATCACCAGGGACCCGTCTGCGGGACTGGGAGTGGCCGGTTGGTGTTGGTGTACTTGCCCACCGGGTCGCCGTGACTTGGCTGACCACATGCTGATTCCAGGTGTTCGAAACAGTGGAGGACGGCCTGGAGAACGCCGGTAAAGCCTTCTGTTCCATGATGTCGGGCGGCAATGTTGGCAAACAGCTTGTGAAAGTCAGCGACGCTTGACGGCGCCCGGCACGCCTCGCTTGTGCTGACACCTGCTGGCCGCTCCAGTGAATGGCCGACGGCTGTGGGTGATGGCGGTGAATGGCGGCTTTGTTGGATGCGTGTCGACGCCGTTCCGTATCTTTTTACCCGAAGCATTGCTTGTGGTGTTTGGAGACGCTTCAGCTGGTCAGTGCTGTGCAGGCATCGGACGCTGCTCCAGGTGGTGGTGTGTTGGCCCATAGCGTAATGTTCACATGCTGGTCAGTGCTGTGCAGGCATCGGACGCTGCTCCAGGTGGTGGTGTGTTGACCCGTAGCGTAATGTTCACATGCTCCGGCGTAGGATCCGTCGGCGGTTGCCTGATTCCAACGTGACGTCACCGTGAGATTTCCGTTATCGTCGTCGATTCTGAACTGTTGTTAGTTTTACCAGTGAGCAATTATCAAGTATTAAGTAAGCCATCATGACACACTCAGCAGCTGGCCTGCAGAAACATGTTCGGCTTCGGCTCCGACCGGCCCCAATTCTCAAATGAACGGCTCGGGTTCCGACCGGCCCCGATTCTCAAATGTACGGCTCGGGCTCTGACCGGCCCCAATTCTCAAATGAACGGCTTCGGCTCCGACCGGCCCCAATTCTCAAATGAACGGCTTCGGCTCCGACTAGCCCCAATTCTCAAAGGAACGGCTCGGGCTCCGACTGGCCCGCATTCTCAAATGAATTGATTTCGCGTTTACCCTCTTACCCTTAATTCATTTCAAATCTGATGAATTCCTGCGTGATTTGTGACTGCCGGGAATCCAACACAAGGCTGGCGGAAGCCCTCAAAATGTTGCGCTTCTGAGGTTATGTGCCCACCACACATTGCTTTGCTTTGGTAACGTACACTCAAGGCATTCCGAGGAGAGAAGAAAAAAACGTATATGGTGCAGAACAGTGTCAAATTTGAGGGCATGCAACTAAAACTATTGAGTAGGGAGGGTAATACGGACGTGAGTTGGAGAGTCGAGTGGTTGAAGCCTCGAGCCGAATGCGTCAAGCGCTTGTTCTTGATTTAGCGTAGGGAATCTCGCATGATTCGCTCAGTTAACTTATTGCTTGGGGCTTATGCTACGGAACGGTCATATCCAGAGGCGCTTAGGGTGTGGAAAAGCACAGTTTATGATAAATACATGAAGTGAAGTGCGTAACGTGCCATTCGGCGTTCTGCAAGCGCGCCTTTAATTATCACCTTTTTTCTGTTTCGTCTGTGGATGGAGGTGCACAACAACAGAACCTGCGGTCTTTGTAAATTGCCTCAACTCGAGCGAGCTACTGGTAATATGGCTCGCTTGTGTCGAATGGCGAGATAAAGTATATGGTACTGCCGAAAATGTACAAAATGGTGTCGCTTAACATGTCGCGGAGTGTTTGCCTTCGCCTGGTTGCCTTTGTCTCTTTTCCCAGATTGCAGATGTCTTCCGTCAGAACTGCATCGCAACTTTCGTGTCCAACCCTCCTAGTGTCTCGCTCACGCTAGTCAGTATTACGTACATCTGCGACCGCCGTCGGTGCTACGGACTCACTGACCCCACCGTATTGTGTGTGTGTGTGTGCGCGCGCGCGCGCGGTGGTGTGCTGCTGAATAGGCGCTACTGAGCCTCCCGGCCCAGTCGCCGGAGCACAATTATGACCGATCTGAGCCGCAATTTGTCGGTGTGATGTCGCCCGCGGCTGTCACAAAGGCGGCACGCCTGCTGCGGCTCGGTAACCAGTGGGGCTTGCGGTGGACGGCGATGATAGCGAACAATATACGTGAGTGCAGTCTTGACTGGGGTCGCCTTGCGCGAGCGTGATCGTGGGGAAAACTGCCGATAGGTCGGATGCAGAGGTATGCGGCTGGTGGGCACGCCGCTGCCTCCAATGCCTCTCACTGCCGTGCTCAGTGGCCACACTACTCTCGAGGCCCGGCGGCTCCTCTGGCACGGCAACCAAACGGGAAGGGAGCCAAGCTTTTGGTTTCGAGGCCAGAGCCAAGGCAATGGGACGGAGCTTACGTTGAAGCAGAAGTTGAGTTCTGGAGGTGTAGACTGCTTGACCAAAGCCCATGGCTTCGTATTTTTGAGACGTGGATCAGAATCCGGAGCCAGCGACGCTGAGCTTTGTACACGAGAAGCCTAAGTCTGCGGCTTCACATCAAGGAGACGTGACGCCAAACCCGAGCACATCGGTTAAAATCATAAGGCCAGAGACGGGGCAGAATCTTATGTACAACACTGCTGCGAAGCCGAGACCATTTTGTTTCCGCCTGAACTGCTTGGGACACAGAACAGATCATGGGAGTTTAGCGCGGTGGCTGGGACAGGTTGATGACAACGGGTGGAAGATTGTTTTGGACTATCGCCCTCATCCTGTGTGTAAGTGTCCAACGTTTAGGACAGTTTTGTGGAGATCGGCCATGCCTGAGCCTTGCCATAGTTTCTGGACGCAAACATGAATGGTGTGTCGTTGACGAGTTTGTCCACTTCAGAAGCAGATAATCCTATTCCCGCTTGTCAGCACCTGTTTGCATTGAGGACGTTTTTGACTCCTTTCGGCCGCCATTATAGTGACACGGCGAGTTGTTTGTACATATTAACTGCGCCGCGTGCGTGAAATTAGCTAATGGCAAAACAAGTTTTGTTGTTGAACGTTCTGATATCAACCTTTTAAGCAGCACGTTTGCCATGGCGATCGTGTGTTTACTGCGATTAAGGATACAGCAGTAGCCAGGGGCGTAGATTCCTATTCAACCGTGTTTGAGAGGGGCTCAGCCCCCGTCAAACTGGGCTTCAGCCCCTCAACCTTGAGAAAAAGTGGGCCACATTCTGGAAGAAACTGGTTGGTGGTATATCTTGATGGGTAGGGTCCACTATCTTTTGCTGTTTAGCAGCCCCTCCCCCTCCAAAAAAACTTAGTTATGAAACCACGCCTCATGTGGAAAGCGTCCCCGATGGTAAATGCGCAAGCTTTTAACTACATCCTGCGCTACCCAATGTAGCCGTAGTTTTAAGGTGATTATGATGAGAGAGCACTGTTCCCCCACTGTAAGTACAACCACGCAGTGCTAAATCTGTTGTTCATCGCACGCAAATGATTACGGAAGTATATTTCAAATAAATGCGTGTGCAACCGGGAGACATTACCCGACTTATCCCAAGTCAAGTCTTTCTATTCCCGCTTCCTATTCAGGTCTGCCTATTCGTGTTCACATTTCTTGCTAAGAATTGCGCATTCGGTATGGCAACTTGCCGGCCGCCCGAATGCCGCTAAGCTAGAAAAACCTCCGCGGTCGGTAGGACTCGAACCTACGCTCCCAGAGGGAATCTGATTTCTAGTCAGACGCCTTAACCACTCGGCCACGACCGCTGGTAGTCTACCGCTATCCACCGTCGATTAGGTAGAAATACAGCACTGTTCTGCGCAGTTGCAATGTTAATCTTAGAGATTAATTCATGATGATATAACGTAACATCTCAAATTATGTCTTTAAATATTTCAATACAACACTATTACAGCCCCCGAATCATTTCCACATCTTTGAAAGCTATATGCCTGTGTTTTGCATAACTACCTGGATTTCGTGATAAACAGTCACTGAAATGCTTTTGTTTACATTCAAACAAACGATTCCTGCTTCGGTCGCCGGAAAGGTAGGGAGATTTGCATTGCTTGTGAACAAGTTTGATAGTTGCTGCGAGCTGCTGGAACCTGCAGGAAAGGGATGGACAGTAAATTTTGAAATCTATTTCCCCGAAAAAATATAGTCGGTCCTCAGCAAGTCGTGCCCATTGGAGCCAATTATTCATGGCTCAATTGGACCAGTCAGTTATCAGAAGACGGTGCCAGTCGGTCTGCTAATTAAAATTTCGTGCCTAGCAATTGGCCATCACCGACCGGAGTCATTTAGTTTCATTTGGCCAGCCCGAATGGAACCGATCAATCACAGACCAGATGAGATGAAATGTTTGCATTTCAGTGGGCAGTAATTGATCCTCGTCCAATTGAAGCCATCTGTTCTTTGCACGCTTGGATGCAATTGATACTCGTCGAACTGGAGCCAGCTAGTCCTGATCAATTCATTTCGTTACCAAGGCACCAATGTGTCATGCCATGCGGCGTACTTGCAGGATTACGAGAAGGACCCAGCCGGCAAGGGCGTAGTTTGGCAAAATGAGTTTAGAGGGGGGGGGAAGGAGGGGAGGCTGAACAATGAAAAATGGTTCGACGTTCTCCCAAAATATGTCAGCAAACAGGTTTCCCTACGAAATTTATCCCACTCTCCCAAAGTTGGGGAGGGGGGCTGAAGCCCATGCTGGGGTAGCTGAGGTCTCCCCCCCCCCCCCCACACACACCGAATAAGAAACATCTCCGCCAGGTAGCATTCCCGAATGGGGCCCACATGGGCTAAATGTAAGGCCAAGTTGGGAGCAGTCGCTCGAGCGACTGTTCTCAATTGTAAACCCATGGTTTAAACGAACAGTTGGGTGTTTGGAAGTGGTTTATTTGCATTTGCTTTAAGTGCTAAAAGCTTTATGGTGGCGACTCGGTCAGCATGCTGACCCGTCAGGTATACATTGTGCGTGGAGGCAGGGGCTCCGAATCACTCCGAAGGCGAGTACACCAGGATGCAGCGCATATGTATTTTGTAGGCAGTTGGACATGCGTGGCACAGCGTCGTCCGTCGCATGACTTAGCAGACGTGGCCAAGGCCCTATGATAACAGCTTGGGCGGCAGGATTGGATCCCATGTTTTCCCTCCCATCTTGTACTGCCTCTCAGGCTTGGGCGTGGCCGCTGCCTGCTCTCCCTGCCGGGTGCAAAAGGCGAATCCAGCGGCCCGAGTCATCTCGTGGCCGCGGGGCCCGGGTCACATTCATCGGTCTTGGAGTCGCCGAGCTGGCGCGTCATCGTGAATGACTTCGTTGCACACCGTGACCACATTGGCGCCCACAGGGTCCTAAATGACCCCGGTGGCGGTCCGGTCGCTGCACTCCCCTCCGGCTGTTTCTCAGCGCGTCACGGGGTCGGTGGTGGCCGCCGCTTTGAGGCTGCCCGCTCTCTAGCTTAGCCGACCGGAACTCCTGTGTGAAAGACTTACCCCCCCCCCCCCCCCAATTGGCGCGCAGGGCGTTTGTACCTTCGGCCGCGTCCTGGAACCGCGTGCCAACGACCATTGTGTCTTACCTGAGCCGTGCTCTGTTCATGGCTGGATTTACCAATGTGACGAAAAGGTAGTCTTTCCTTATGTGTGCTTTTATCACGTTATTGGTGGGGTTTTAGCATTGCCGCATCTTCGTTTTCATCGTACAGCCCATTGGTTCGAATCAAACATTACGCGATGGATATTAAACGATTTGTAATCAATACATAATATTGATCATGATGGTGGCAGCCACAGCCAAGAATTCTGCTGTAGCAAGCTGCAATCGCGCGCTGCTATTTGGAAATGCGTAAATGGATGGCAGCAGAATCGGCAAAAGCTGTGTTAAGTGTCGGCGAAAAGTCGCTCTCACGAATGCTAATTTTCATCCTTTTGGTTGGGCCACTGCCCCACCCGCTTAAATTAGGTTTGCCGT